ATCTCTTCCACTCCGTCTTCACTCACTGCATCTCTCTCTCTCTCTCTCTCTCTCTCTCTCTCTCTCTCTCTCTCTCTCTCTTTTTCCTCTCTACAGTACATCCACAGGGGAAATCATATTAAGGGTTGGCAGTCCCACCCCCTGTGGATTTAATCCAACAGCAGGAATGGGAATTTTGACTATCTTGTAATGGAACTAGGCATGAATGCTTTAGCCTGTGCAACACAAAATTCTCATAACACACACAGAAACAGCAAGAAAGAAAGACAACAAGGAGGTCTGGGACCAACATTGCTAGGAAAAGAAAACAGTGCAGTGCATGTCCTGCAAATGTGGGCATACACTGAATGATATTGTAAATTGTTGTACTCAGCTACAGATAAAACTGTACGACGAATCTGCAGGGTTTAAAAGTTCACAGCTCATAATGCATGTTCTTACACTGTACGGCCCGACGCTCTGATGCGATCTAACTGCTCATGTTCAAAAAACCACAGACACTCAGCATCGAGAGATGCCGCTGGTTGGATTCGTCAATCTAGAAGAAGAACTCCCTTGTTTGCACAAGCGCAGTGTGCGAGGTTCTGGTAAACCAGCCTGAAGACGCTTGTAGCTCTGCTTTAACAGCAGGATTTGCCGACGAATAGCCCACCATGGCCAACTGAATTTCACACATGTTTGATTAACTCCCAACCTTACGATTCCTGATCAGGAGGTGGTTGTGAGAGGCTAATCACCCCTCGACAGTGGTGTCGGATGTAGGAGTTTGCTCTGAAATCGAAGGATTGAAGGTTGAAGCCCCGGCTCCGACTTTCAGCGTCGTTGTGTCCTTGGGCAAGACACTTCACCTGCATTGTCTACTGATGGTGGTCAGAGGGCCTGGTGGCGCCATTGTACAGCAGCCTTGCTTCTGTCAGCGAGCCCCAGGGCAGCTGTGGCTGCAATGTAGCTTGCCACCATCAGTGTGTAAGTGTGTGCGTGAATGGGTGAATGACTGAATGTAGTGTAAAGCGCTTTGGTCAAGTCTCCTGACTTGAAAAAGCGCTATATAAATTCAGGCCATTCACCATTTACTACACAATGTAGGAGGCATGATGAGGCAGAAACTCAGCCTGATCCAAAAATTTCTTGCACTAGCGGAGAATTGGCCCAAAAACTGCAAAAAATCATACAGTACATGGCCGCCTTTAGAGAAACCACACAGAAAAAGACATTTCAACGGTTTAAATACCTTTTTGCTGCATTAATAAACAGCACATGCTGCATCTTTGTGTTCATATGGTATACTGTACAGTATTAGAGTCATGTCTTTTAGCCATTTTAAAACTTTATTTTGGAAAATTACACACTTTTTTGTTTGTTTTTCCATGTTTTGTTAAATTTCTAATGCGCTAAAAAGAGAAAAAAAATATGGAACTGAACTCTTTCTTAAGCATTTGTTGACACTTAAGCATCCTCAGTAATACATGCAAAAATGTCTGAATTCAAATTAAAAGGTGTTTATAGTACATAGTATACTGCTTAAATCTTTAACTGAATCTGTTCCGTAGATCTTTATAAATGTATTATGTTTTTTATTTCATCTCTGTGAAAGTGAATGCTATTTTGTATTCACAACTGCATAGAGTTCCCCTTCAACCTCAGTCTTTCAGAAGCCTTTGG